GGCCGTGCCCTGGGCCCCGCCTCTGCCCCGGGCCCCGCCTCCTCTCCGCCCCTTCTGCAGACCCCGCCCCTGCGCCGGTGGGCCCCGTCCCTGGGCACCGCCTCTGCCCTGGGCATCGGTCTCAAATCCCGCATCGCCCCACCGCAGAAAGCTCCCGGCACCGGCACATCTTTGGCAGCTTTTTACGTTTGCTTTTTACGTTTCAGCATTTTGATATGTTTCCAATAAATTTTGTTTTTAAAAAGTCAACATAAAAAAAAGAAAAAATATTCCCTTGGCTGAGCAGGCAATGCTCGGTGCCGCCCCAGGCAGGGCACGGCCCGGCTCCACCGCTGTGGCACGCACAGCCCTTGGCACATGGCCCCCCCGGGAGATCCTCTCTGCTTGGGCTGCTCAGAATTCGGTCAATCCGGCGGCTCTCGGGTGCACAGCCCCCCCCCCCCCTCAGTTCATGAACTGGGTGTACCCCTCTGCCCCGGTGACAATGACGTCCATCCAGATGCGCATGGCCTCGGCCGAGGGTGCCACCATGTAGTAGAGGCGGTCGTGGGTTTTGACGCAGAAGGTGAGCGCGGGGTTGGGGCTCTGGGGAGGAAAGGAGGACAGGGTCAGTGCTCTGGCCCCCTCCGAGCAGCGGTGTGCCCTGCTTCACCCCCCCGCAAAGCTCAGCACAGGGGTCCTGCCGTCAGCACCCCGAGGAGGTGGCACCATTAGGGGCCATGGACCACTCTGGGAGCATCCCCGGCTCAAGCTGCCACGCTGCCTCCTGCCTGTGCGGCAGAGGGTGATGCGGGGAGATGGCGATGCTGGGGGGTCCCGGCGGACACCAGGGCAGCGCAGTGCCCGGCTCTCACCTTCGCCGCGCTGCGGAGGTGGTCGTAGTAAACCTCTTCGATGGCTTGGAAGTAGATGACACCTTTCAGCTTTGTCTCGTGTTTATCTGCCGGAGAGAAGGAACCAGTGTTGACTGTGGTGCTACGGGCGATGGCACAGGGAGGGAGCAATGGTGTGGGGCATGGGGCAGTGCAGGGACTCACCCACATAGTAGGAGAGGGTGCGCTTCATGCGGTCGAAGACGAACCAGCGCTTCTTCCAAGACTTGATCTTGCCACCCATCTTGACCAGGTAGCCCTTGCACATCTTCTCTGTCAGGATGACGTGGTAGCAGGTGTCCACACTGTGGCCTGAGGACTCGATGTGCAGCCGCAGGTCGAAATCCTCCTTGCGGATTGGGAGGTACCGCGTCAGGGGACGAGCCTGGAAAAGCAATGCAGCCCTGCAAAGTCCGCTGGCAGCGGCGAGAGCCGTGTCTCCCCGCTGGGACCCCGGGACACTGGTGGGGAGCTGGGTCTGCCTCGCCAGCCAGGCTGGGAGAGGGGACCCTGCGCTGGAGGGGGCAGCCCGCCTCACACCTGTGAGAAGTGCTTCTCCCGCAGCTTGACCTCTTTCTCCACCAGCTTCTGCCGCCGCGCCGTCTCGTCCTGCAACCGGCGTTCCAGCTGCTCCCGGCGCCGGCGTTCATCCTCCAGCGCCTGCCGCCGCAGCTCCATCTCCCGCTCCTGCTGGCACGCACAGGCGCTCAGCCCCAGGGATCGGGGACCCGCTCCCCAGCCGGCTGTGGTGCCGGTGCCCCTGCTCACCCGGGACTCCATCAGCCGTGACTTCTCCGCGTGTGCCTCCTTCAGCATCTTCTCCATCTCCTCAATCTTCCCCGCCTCCATCCCGCTGGCACTGCAAGACAGCCGCAGCTGCCATCCCAGTGGGAAGGACCTCGAGCCAGCAGCGTGGCCAGCAGATCGGGCTGTCCCTCTGGCCATGGGAGCTGGCCCCGGGGTTACCTGGAGATGTTGTCGGGCGAGCAGGCAGAGTTGTTGCCGGTGGAGATGCTCGTCTCCATGCTGTCTGAGCTCTCCAGGCTGAGGGTGTCGTACGCGTGGTCCAGCTCCTCGGCCCGGGGCCCGATGCCATGGGGACGGTGGTGGTGGAGGATGGAGTGATGCACGAGTGGGGGGAAGGCAGCGGGGAAGGGGGGCTGCCCGTGCAGGGCTTCCCACTGGGACTGAGCCTCGGCGGCCGCTTTCTGCTTCAGCTCTGCCAGCCGCCGCTTCTGCTCCTCAATCACCTGCTGACCTGCGCAACAGGAAGAAGACAACAACGACTAAGCGCGCCGTGCTCAGAGCCGCACCATGGCAAGTGAGGCGACGGTGCAAGCAGGAGAAGATGCTGCAGGTGCTGCTGGCGCCGGGGAGGGATGGCAGGTGCAGAGGTGGGAGCCGCCATCACAACTCCCTGGTGAGCACGGCAAGCAGCATCTGTCTGGGCAGGAGGAGGGGGCCCGGGCAGCCAAGGGGGCACATGTGCCAGGCTGGCAGGAGCAGGCTGGACAAAGCATTAGCAGGTTAGGGATGCACAGGGTTGTCCCTAAGCGGATGCCAAGAGGCACGCGGGCTCCTGGGCTGGTCATGCCCCTCCTATGCATGGCAGAACGTGCCAGCAAAAACAGCCATGCTGCTGCCTCCAGGCTGCTCTAGGCAGTCCAAGCCGCCCCATGTCTCTACCTGGTAGATCACCCGGCTGCAAGGGCTCTGCTGGGAGCGGCTCAGCTGGAGACACGCCGTCGGGCAGAGGGGTTGGGAGGGAGAAGGAGGGAGAGAGGGGGGAAAAGCGAGAGACCGTGAGAGAGGCAACGCATCCCGCCGGACCACCGCCGCTGCCGCCCTCGGCCGGGCTCCCTTCTCCATTGCCTGAGTGGCAGCAGAGGAAGCATCTCCCAAAGTCCCACCACCCCGTAGAGCCAGGACATGGAGCTGGAGCTTACCCTTCTGCTGCAGGGCCAGCTGGCGCTTCGTCTCGATGTCTTGCAGCGTGGCTGCCAGGTTGCGGGGCAGGCTGCCCACTGGGCTTGGTGGGCCCTGGGCAGGACGGCAGGTGGTCAGCTGTGGGGACGGGGACGGGGGCTGGCACCGGGCACGCAGGAGCCGTGGCCGGGGTGGCCATGGCCGTGTGACACCCAGCTCCCCCCAGCAGCCATACCTTGGGTGAGGGGCTGCGCCCCAGCACGCAGAGGTTGAGCTGTGAGGACGAGGGAGTCACGGTCTTCATCCGAGGGGCAAGGGCACCAGCGTCGCCCTCCGTTTTGGCACGATAGACCTGAGCACAGAGACACAGAGGTGAGAGCGGCACGGGGGGGCTGCAAAAGCCCCCGTGGATGGATGGCTCAGCCGTCGGCGGGGCTGAGCATCCCCTCCCCAGACCCTGCCCCTGTGTCGGTGCCGTCTTGGCAGGGGGTGCAGGCAAGAGGAGACAGCGGCTGCCTGCCCCAGGCGTTCTGCCCACTGTGGGTCTGCTCTGCCCTTGCCCGCTGCGGCAGCTGGGTGCCTGGCAGCACCCAGGGTGTGGAGCCAGCTGGAGCATCTCTGCACTGCCCCGCTCCTGCCGCGGCCGGCAGCCCCGAAGCCTGAGCCCCAGCGGCAGGGAGCCAGGATTACCTGGAGAGGCTTGTGAGAGGAGTGAGCTTTAGCTGGAAGCGGAGGAGGGGAAGAAGGAGGAGAGACAGAGGAGGAGGAGGTCTCAAAGCCAGCCATGACCTCCTGGTACCACTTCTCTAAATCAAGAGCTGGGAGCCACACGGGGCCCCCCAGCAGCTGCTGCTCCATCTGGAGAGAGACGCGGCGTGAGAAATGAGGGAGGGCAAAATGCAGCGAGAGGGACATACGCACAGAGATAGAGAGGTCGGAGTATCCCTGCCTGTGACTGCACTGCCCCTCCAGAACGGGACCTGCAGACCCCTGGGGACCCCGCGCACTCCCTGGCTGAGTCCCGGCAGCTCTGGGACCCCCTTGCTGCTCATGGGGCCGGCGAGACCCAATGCAAGTTCCAGAGGGGCACAGAGACCCCCTGCCCTGCACCACGGGTTGGGGAGGGCCCAGGCA